TAACAAGGATGACTTCGATGGGCCTTTTCAAAGGCTCTCAATTCGAAGTATCTTCGAATTAGACTATATTTCCAAATCGAAGGGTTCTTAATTTAGACTTCTTCAATCTCTTAGATTTCTTCAGTCTATTTTTAGCCAATTAAGCCAATGTGTCTGGATGTCGAATTTAGGAGCTAACACTATGTTGTTGAACATTTGTGTTGTATGTCTATTTTTCATTTTGTTGCATGTAGCAAATTATCTTCTTATTATGTATGCGATCTTCATTTTTGTATATTCTTCTTAGCTATTTAGCACATATGTTCATCTGGAATTATTTGTTGTGTTTGGTTGTTTGGTTTCTAGATCCATAACAATTCATATCTCTTTTTGATGTTGTGAATTATTTAGCATTTTTTATTTTAGCTCAAAGTCAACTCATTTACACGTGAAAGCTTTCCAAGCATCAAAAAGCGGGAGAGTATAGTTGCACATCCCTAGGAGGAGTTTGTTGCATGTCTTTATCATATACAGGGGGAGCATCCCCAACACGATTATTTTGTTTCTTGTCTTATCGCTTTCGTTTATTATCGTTTATTGATTCTCCCTCATGATTGCACATCTTTTGATTCAAGTTTGAAATCAATTCATTATATTTTTAGCATGAATAAAATAATGGTTTTGTTTGAATTTGATCAAGATGTTTTTAGTCAATTGCATGAGTTTGTGGAATAAAAACTATATGTGTTTGATTCAAGTTAGGTGCAAAGAAAAATCTCAAAATACCTTTTGAATCATGAAAATTTGAGTTTTTGAGTATTTGATTCGAATCAATCAATATACACACTCATTATAATTCGAATCAAATCCAACGGTGGTGAACAAAATTTTTTCAAAACAATTTAAATTGAATCAGGTTTTGTACATGATTCCAATCAAGCTATTTTTTTGTCACATCTGCTCAATTTGATTTGAATGACACTTTGCATATGATTCGAATCACACAATTTTTTTAGCATATTTCTTAAGGGCCTGGAGCAGTTGATTCAAATCAGTTTGTACATGATTCAAATCACGGGATCTTTGATTCGAATCATACATTATACTTGATTTGAATCAAGTGAAAAATGGGTCAAAAATCATAATTGTTTTTATTCCATTAACTTGCTAACCAACTTTTACCACTCATTTTTTGTGTTTAAACTTAAGCGCATATAAAACCTTTTGTCAACACTTTTCAGTAGAGTAATTTCATATTCATTTGTGATTTTTTGTGAAATCAACTCTCACACTTTGAAGTTCAAAGTTCTTGTATTCGAATATTTTTCTTATTCAGCCTTAGTTTATATTTCAGATCTTGATCATGAGAGATCTTTGATTGATTGGGGGAAACATTATCTTCAAACTAGCCGTTCTTGGAGATTGGCTAAAATATTTTCAAGTTATTTCAAGATTGAGGAGTTGTCACTGGTGCTAAGAAATTTTGGTGAAAAAAAAGTGGTTCTTCTCTCCAGATTGCCTTAGTAGTGATTATGTGGAAGGCTATGCATAAGGTGGAGTTCTTCTCGGATCTTCAGTTCACTGCTCAAGGAATCGGTAGAATCAAATGGTTGATTGCTACACACAAAGGCTTGGAGAATAATTGTTGATATTGGAAGGTTTAGAAGCGTCGACTGGGTTAATATTACGCAAAAGAGTTTTGTGTAAAGCTCTATACAAGTCAAGATCCATAATTGAAGTTTTATTTTCTTCAGCATTATTGTGGAAAGTGATTGTATGAACTTTTTAAAATTTGTCAAAAAATAATGGAATTATGCAGGTTCCGATGGGAAACCATTGAAGAGTGCACATTGACTCGCGTGAGGACGACATAGTCGAAACACTATAAATCCCGGTGTCATCTCTCTACCTTTTACTCTTGCATTTATATTTCATAGTATACTGCATACCTAGATTTTTCAATTCATAGAGTAATTTATCATTTATTGCATTGATAGTGATTTATTTCTTAAGATTAGGTTTTGTCGGAATTGAGACATAATCGAGCTTTAGTGGTAATTAAAATATAAGAAACTAGTTGAGTTTAAAATTCACCAATTGAATCATTGTATAATCATATCTCGTGAATTATATTAGTGGTGTCAATTGAATACCTTGTGTATCATCATTAAATCAATTTGTCATTGTTTTCCATTAATTACATTTTCACGTGAATTAATTTTCTATTCAAGTATAATTCACTATATTTCGCTCTAATACTTCCGTGTGCATACTCTGAAAATCCACTAATATTTCGTTATCGAAAAACCTCTCATAAGGAAGGTATTACTATCCTACGAAATTCATTTCAAAATGAGTGTAAAAAAAATTTTAACTTCAAAAATATTTATTTTTTGTTTATTATTAATGGCAAATTAAAATTCAAGGTTTGAAAACTATTTTGATTATTTATTTATTAATTTTAAAAGGAAAATATTATTGAAATAGAAGAAAAAGCATAAGATTTTATTATTATTGTTCTTTAGAAGAACAAATCTTAATGTTATGAATCTCCTAGTACGACGGAGTTCTAAATGCTAAGTAGTTATTTGGTAAAAAAGATTGTTGGAATTAGTAGCAAATGATGAAATGTTGGAACTAGTAATAATTATTAGTATGAGAAGTTGCAGAATCTAGTTAGTCTTGCATTTAGGAAATAACATCCATGCATCTAGGAAATAGCATTATTATTAATCTCATTGTAAATGTAAATTGCAATTATTTCTAGTAGTATATATAAATAGACCAACCGAGTAAAAATCACTCAAGCATTCCACAAATCTCTTAATCCTCTATCAAAATATTTTAACATGGTATCAAGAGCTTGTTCATTTCTCCATTAAGGGTTTCTATCTCTAGTCTAGTAGAACCCTTGAATCTTCCTTGGTTTGAAAAAATATTTCTTCCATCTAAAAGTCATTGCTACCTTCATTTTCCGGTCTCCATTTCTAGTTGTTTCTTGTTGTTCCACTCTATATTTTTTTTGTGAAGAAAATGGGTAGTCCTCAATGAACATATTGCAAGAGAATGGGTCACAATCAAACGACATGTTACTCTCTTCAGTTGGATATTAAAAATGTGTTTCTTCATGGTGAGTTGGAAGAAGAAATTTATATGGAGCAACCTCCTGGATTTGTTGCTCAGGGGAAGTCTGGTTTAGTTTACAGATTACGACGATCTCTCTATGGTTTGAGACAGTCACCGCGAGCATGGTTTGGAAAATTTAGTTTAGTTATTCAAATTTTTAGATTGAAACTTAGTGAAGCAGATTGCTTTATCTTCTATTGTCATGCATCTCCAAATAAATGTGTTTATTTGGTGGTTTATGTAGATGATATAGTCATAAGAGGGAATGATCAAGAGAAAATCTCTCAGTTGAAAGAACAATTATGTAGCCATTTTCAAACTAAAGACTTGGGGAAGCTTAAATGTTTTATTGGGGTTAAAGTTGCTCAGTCAAAGGATGAAATTATCATCTCACAAAGGAAGTATGCCTTATACATACTTAAAGAAACTGATATGTTGCAATGTAAACCAGTTGATAGTCCCATGGATCCGAATGTAAAATTATTTCCTAGTCAGGGGAGCCTTATTCTAATCCAGAAAGATATCGAAGATTGGTTGGAAAACTCATTTACCAAACTATAACAAGACCATATATTTCCTTTGAAGTTGGTGTAGTAAGTCAATTCATGCAGTGTCCGCATAATAATCATTGGGATGCAACGACCCAAATTCTAAAGTACATTAAAAGGGCTTTAGTACAAGGACTACTTTATGAATACAAAGGGGACACTCAAATAGTTGGATTTTGTGATGCTGATTGGGCAGGTTCGCCTATTGATAGGAGTTCCACTTCAGGATATTGTGTTTCTATTGGTGGGAATCTTGCCTCTTGGAAGAGAAAGAAGAAAATTATGGTTGCAAGGTCTAGTGCAGAGGCTGAATATAGAGTTATGGCTGCAACCCCTTGTGAACTTATTTTGATTAGACAACTTCTTCAAGAGTTAAAGTTTGGAGATACTCAACCAATGAAACTATGCCGTGATAACCAGGAAGTTCTACATATAACTTCCAATTCGGTACTCCATAAGAGAACTAAGCGTACTGAAATTGATTGTCATTGTTTTCGTGAGATAGTTCTTTCTAAAGAAATCATTACTGAGTATATTACCTCAAATGACCAATTGGCAGAAGTCTTCACAAAATCCCTAAGGGGATCGAGAATTCAATACATTTGTTCCAAGATTGGAGCATTTGACTTATATGCTTCAGCTTGAGGGAGAGTGTTAAAATTAGTAACAATTATGAAATATTGGATATAGTAACAATTATTAGTATGTGAAGCTGCATAATCTAGTTAGTCTTGCATCTAGGAAATAACATCCATGCACCTAGGAAATAGCATTATTATTAATTTCATTGTAAATATAAATTGCAATTATTTCTAGTAGTACATATAAATAGATCACTCAAGCATTCCACAAATTTCTTAATCCTCTATCAAAGTCTTTTAATAAAGATATTTATGTGTTGGTTGATATCAACCGTATATGTTGTTTTACATTTGTATTAATAAGTTGTTCTAGCGAGTTAGTTTGATAAATGATTGTAAGTGATATTTGTAATCAACATCTGTTAAAAATGTAGTTAGCTAGTTAGTTGTAATTGTATCTACCGTATAAGGAAATAAGATGTTCTGAAAAAATTAATTATATCCTTCTGAATCCAAGTTCATTTTTTTAAACTTTTAAGGTTAAATCGGTCTAAACACACTTATCTTTATTAATTGATTTCTCTCTACTAAATGTTCTACTAAATGCAGCTTTTGAACTGAAAAGTCACAAAGAAATGTCAATTTTGTCACCATTCTCTTTTGCCAACACCTAATCAATTTTGGTTATTTATTGTTTTCTCTTTTTTTTTTGTCAGATTTCATTATTATTAAATTAAGTTGACCATTTTATATGGACTAAAACATGTTTTCTATACATTTGTGAACTTCTCTTTTTTTCTTTTTTTTTCTCACGCTCTCTCTTTTCCCAAACCTCTTTTCTTTCTCTCTTCTTTCTCTTTTCTATTGCATCTCTCACATTTCTCTCTGTTTCTTTCTTCTTCATTTTCTCTCATTCATTTATATGGAATCTCTTTATCTTCAACAATCTTTTGCATATTTGTGATTTATTTTTGTTTTTTATTTTATTTTTCAGGTTATAGATATATAGGAAGACACAAACTCAATAAGAAAAGGGTAAGTTTTAACGTTTTTTTAGGTTGTAGATCTATACTTGTATGAAATTATTTATGTATTTTCTTGATAATATAGATTTTTTTTTTTGCTATTTTTGAAGTTCATGACAATTATTTTTTTCCATTTTGTTCACTTCTTTTGTTTTTCTTCTTCTTCAGTTTATAGGTCTACGAATGAGAAAATGGAAAAAGTTAAACAACATCCATAAAAGAAAAATGTAAGTTTTAACTTTTTATTTTATTTTTTTAGGTTGCAGATCTATATGTATATTTAACCATCTGTGTATTTTATGGATAATATATATCTTCTTTTGTCATTTTTTTCATCTTTTTCATTTCTTTTTATTTTTTAGGTTATATATCTACATATAAGAAGATGGGAAAAGTTAAACAACATGGATAAAAGAAAAATATAGCTTTAACATTTTTTGTTTTTTAAGTTGTAAATCTATACATATATGTTACCATCTGTGTATTCTCTAGATAATATGGATTTTCTTTTGTCATTTTTGAAGTTCATGACAAAATCCATATTTTTTTCCATCTTTTTCTCTTCTTTTGTTTTTATATATATTGATAAGAAGATGGAAAAAAGTTAAAGAACATCGATAATTTGTTAATATTTTTTTTGGTAAAATATTTATTAACTATATTACTGTATTCAATTTGATCTCTTTTTTTTCTGTCAAATTGATCTTTAACTTTTTAATAGATGCATATCAGTTCTTTCCGTCTACTCCATTAGTCAAAATCTATTAAATATCTACTTTGACATTTTCTGTGATGGAGTTAGTATTGAAAAAATTGATGCTAAAAATTATTTTTAGAAATTAATTATTATTGTTCATCTTTTTCCCTAAATTTTTTCATAAACAAAATCTAAAAATATTTGTTCATCTTATTTCCCAAATACATTCAAAGCATCACTAGGACATTTGCATCGATATGTACTCATCAACATGTTTCACTACGGAATAGTTATTATTGAATGTTCTTCTGCGTGCACGCCGGAGTTCTGATGTTGATTTTTTTTTTTCTTTGTTAATTTAGTGCTAGATAATGTAGAAGTCTTTCATAATTATGAATTTGTTTAAAGCATGTAGTCTAATTTGAAACAAATATATAAAGGGAACTAGTACTAGGCTTCAGGTTAAATTTAATACACTAATCTTAAATTATGATTTTTATTTCATTTCCTCTCTGATGTTCTTATATGTAGTCTTAAGAACTCTGTCGCTCATTCACTTGAATGAGCGAGTTATTCTTGCAAGAACTTTTTGAGAGAAGTCCTATTTATCTCAATTTGCATTAAAATCCCTATACAACAAACCTGAGTTCTTTTGAGATTATGTTTGGGTTTAGTCTTGAGAAGAAGATAAACAAACTTTTTAAGTTTTATTTATGAAAATATTTGAAGAAGAAGACGAATAACAATAATTCATTTCTAGAATACTTATTTAGGCAAAATACTCATTTAAAGAAAAATATCTATTTATTCTTGTGAAGAAAATGAACAATTTTTTTTAGGTTTTGTTTATGAAAAAAATTTGGAGTTGAAGATGAACAATAATAATTAATTTTCAGAAATAATTTTTAGTGTCTGTTTTTCCAACACTAAATATGTCACAAGAGCTACCACATAGATATTTAATCGATTTTAATTAACAGAGTACACATGAAGGACATATATACATCTATTACCAATTTGGTATGAAAAAAAAAAAAAAACCAAACTGAAGGTATAGTAAAAGGACGAGAATAAATATTTTACCTATTTATTTAAGTTTGTTTTATATATTTTTTAAGTTTTATAATTATAAAGCAGTGTAACCATTTTTTTAATATTTCTAAACATTAAGATTGAGAGCAGAAATATTTAGAGAGAGAGGAAGAATATAATGAGATGTGAGGTTGTGTTAAGTTTTAATTTAATTTAATGTCTTTTATCATTATTATTATTGGTATTATTTGTATGATTATAATAAAACCATTCAAAATCAATTTATCTTGTTCAACCATGTTCTACTTTTTTTTTTTTATTGTAATTTTTTTCGACAGGATCACAAAACAATAGGAGAAAAAAAGAATAGAGAAAAAGGTAGAGATGATGAATAAGAAGAGATGAAAGTGTTTTTCCATTAAGTATTAATAGATAATTATAGGTAAAATAGTGCAAATATCGTATTGAATAGTGTAAACATTATATATTGGATAGTGCATATTTTTATTGGACAATTCGAACATTAAATACTGCATATTCATAATTATTATTTTTATATTGCAAATAAAAATTAGTAATTAAATATATAACAATTAAATATATAATAATTAAATATATAATAATTTATAGATAAAAAATGTTCATCGTCGACCTATTTTCTTCTTCTTCTACTTTTTATTTAAATTTAAAGAGTGTGTCAGGCATAGTCTAATTTATATCTAATTATTAATATAAGGTTTCAGTGATAATAAATAACATTATATGTTAGATGTTTTGTAATATAAGAAGGACAATCAACTATTTGGTGTTCAATTGAATTTTCAATAGCATTATATGTAAGATGTTTTATAATATTTGGGTGATAATCAATAATATTATTTGATATAATAATTTGTCAAATATTTAGTGTGTAAGTGAATTTTCAGAATTTTTCTTTAAGTTGTATTGATATAAAAAAACATTTATAATCAAAAGTGATTATAAGCAATATCAACAGTTGATGTAAATCAAAAACAGTTCAGAAAATTACTTACCATTCAATTGATAATACAATGCTATTTGACAAAATGTATTGAAGAATATTAAAGCAAGTAAAAGCAATAAAAGAAAAGAGACACAAGGATTTGACTATACAGTTTTCCACTTTCGTCCTTGTATGTGGGTACGTCTGTGCCCAATTCCAATGTGGAATTAAGATACTTTCTTACTTTGCAAAAGTATGAATACAAGAGAAGTGTTCAAGAGCAACCTTATAAATCATAACCGTTTGATGTTGATTCAAACCCTTTTCTTCCTTTGATCTTCAACAAGACCAAGACACAATAGAAGCAAATTGACTATCTGGATTTTGATACTCCTTTGTGTTTTTTATCTCCAAAGCTTTCGTCCACCGTCAATTTTAAACTATTGCAATACAAGACTTCAATTGTAATGTGTCGTTCTCTCGCTACTTCCTTGCGTTCTTTATCTCCAAAGGACTTCACTTGACCGCAATTACCTCTTGAACATATTGCACGAAAACCCCCAAATTAACCAATGATCTTGGAGGACAAACCCTCAGTTTTTCTCAAATGAAGACCCCTACAAAGCTTAACCCAATACCTAATTAGACACTATCAATCCTCATCTAGATGGCACCCCAATAGAACATCATCACAATGTAATGTTAGTGTGTATGCATAGGTTGAAGGTTGAAGATGAAGAGAAATGTAGGCTAATTTTATGGTATCACCAAGTTATGAATAATGCATGAATGAATATTTATAGTCCAGAAACTTTTAAGGAAAAAAGGACAAATTCAGAATTAAAAAGATTTGAAAAATTGACCAAACAATCAGTATGTGTTGACTTATATATCGTATGTGTCGACACATACTTAATTTGTATGTTGTATGTGTCGACCTGTATAGGTCTATGTGTCGACCAAACTGAAACAGAGGCTACAGGCTTTAAAACGATAGCAAATGTGTCACCTAAAAAATGGATGTGTCGACACATAAAATAATAATTTCTGTAATTTCAAAAATACTTCAGTTTATGTCGAGCTATGTAATGCATGTGTCGACCTAAGATTTACGGAGGCCATAGGTTTCAAAAATGAGTTACATGTGTCAACCTGAAAAGCGGATGTGTCGACACATGTAGTAGAAAATTATGCAAAAACTTATTTTTAATGACTTGGATCAATTTCAAAATGCTTTTTAATGATTCCTAAGACCTCTAATGCAGAGGAGTGCCACAAGACATAAGAGAATACCGTCCAATATACATAAGTACTGACTTTTTCCAATTTTGACATCATACCAAATATTTGATGACGGAGTCGTACTCACATAAATTTTTTTGGTAAAACAATTTTGTTTTTTTATTCACATTTTTATTATATTTTGAAAATAAAATAGTGCGTACCACTTCAGTACCCATGTAAATACACGAGTATCCCACTAATTCTATTTAAAAGCGCATATATCAAGAGCCTCATGTAATCACTCGAATAATTAAGGAAAAATACAATGAATGAAAATTTTCTCGCAAATGGGTAAGTTTCCATTCTAGTATGGTATAAGTGAAAATGTGATACAACTTCACTCTAATATTGGTCATTGACTATCAATGTCAGTTTGGACTGGTTATTGAGAAACTCAACCAAGCCTATTTGAGTTTGGCTTCATATCTAGCAAATGATATCACTTCTTATTCATCTACAACCATCAAGGCATTATACTTTTATGAACTAGTTTATTTTGATGATATATTAATAACATGATCCTCTTCTACTCTAGTTAACAACTTAATCTGCAAACTTATGATATATTTCCCCTTAAGAAACTTGGGTAGCATGAATACTTTTTTGGCATTGAGGTGAAATATCAAGCAAACAGATCACTTCTATTTACTCGAACAAAGTATATCATGGATCTCATTTCCAAAGACAACAGTTGATGCAAATGGTGTGCACTCTTCCACATTCAACCATTGCAAATCTAGAAAGTTTAGATTTGACATTATGTAAGAACCTTTCATATACAGGTCTGTAGTGGATGCATTATAATGGAGTATTACATTAACAAGACCATGTATAGTATACTGTATGAAATATCTATCAATTTATTTAAAAAATTCTCTTGTCAATCATTGGAGTAGAGTCAAAAGAATTTTGAGATACCTAACTGGTTCATCAACACACAGTTTATTATTATCTTATGCAAATCCTAAATTTTATTTAGGATTGATAGTCATTTATTCCTGCTATATATGCGATTTATGAAAAATCTCCCATAATTTTTTTTCCATGTATTACCTAACATTTGAAGATTTTTTCATTATTGACCTTCATCACATGTAGGATTTTTTTTTATTGACTTGGATGATCTATATGAATTTTTATTTTTATTTATTTATTATTTTTAATGTCATGCAAGTATTTTATATTATATTAATTTTTTTTGTTGATATGTGACAACATGTTAAATACTAAAAAAATTGTGAGAAGTAGGAGTTGATACCCACACCCTTTTCCTTGAGGAACTAAACCCTTACTACTAGGTTGTATAGTTGTTCTTGTTATATTTACGTATTTAATAGTTCTTATAGCATGCAAAGTTAACTTTATTATATTAAATTAATTAAATATTAATGTTATCTTTTTAATATTTCTAACTATTTATATTTAATTTTTCAGTTTTATTTTCTCTTTAATTTAACTCTAATCTTTTTATCATTTATTTTTTGTTTTTTTAATAATATGTTTTAATTTCAATTATTTATTATTTATTAAACATAATATTTAAAATTATAAAACGTAATAAGTATTTTTTTTAATATTTAACATTTAATATTTAAAAATGTATTTTTAATAAATAATTTTTAAAATATATTCGTTTAATAAATTTTAAATATTTAAAAAATATTATAAAAATATTTATTAAAAAAAATAATATTAAATATCACATTTAATTTTAAATATTATGTTTTATAATTTTAAATATTACTTTTAATAAATAATTGAAATTAAAATAAATATTATTAAAAAATATTTTAAATGTTTATAGAAAAAATAAATTTAAATATTATGTTTAGTAATTATTAAATAATAAAAAATATTAAAAAATTATTTATTAAATTTTTTTTAAATATTATATTTTATAATTTTAAATGATACATTTAACAAATAATAAATAATTAAAATTAAATAAATATTATTAAAAGCAAAAATAAATGATAAAATTAAATAATAATAAAAATTCAGTAAAAATAAAAAAGATAAAAGAAAACAGAAAAATTAAATAAAAATTTAAAATATTAAAAAGATAACATTAACATTTAATTGGTTTGATACAATGAAATAAGTTTTGCATGCTATAAAAATTATTAAATATGTAAATACAACAAGAACAATCATCGAGACGTAAATACAATAAGTTTTAGTTGCTCAAGGAGAAAGTGTGAGTTCAACTTTCACTTTCCATAATTTTTGAGTATTCAACATGTTCTCATATATCAACAAAAAATTAATATAATATAAAATATTTATATGACATTACAAATAATAAATAAAATAAAAAGTCACATGGATCATCCAAATCAATGAAAAATAAAAATAAAATTTTTCACATCGGCTCTTTTAGTGATTGAATGTGATAAAAGTAAAAAATTAGAAAATCTTCAAATATTACAAAAATTCATTAAAAAAAAAAATTATGAAATTTTTTATAAATCACCCGTATGATAGGAGATAAATGACTATTAACACTAAAATTTATCAATAAGATCTAATTGTGATTCAAATTAGCCAAATAATCCAGATTATAAATCTATCTTTGGAATTAGCATCTTTATTGGTCAAAATTTGATATTTTAGAGCTCCAAAAAAAAAGTCATTGGTTGCACATTCGAGTGCTCATGCAGAATACAAAGCTTTGACACATACTTCATATGAGTTGTTATGGCTTGAACGACGTCTAGTTGAGTTGAAAGTCAACTATCTCTCATCAACACTACTCTGTAACAATCTAAGTGTTGTTCTTATATCTCACAATCTTATATTATATGCTAAATATATTGGATAAAATATCATTTTGTCAGAGAAAGAGTAATAGTAAAGAAGTTTAAAATCCAATATGTAACAACTTCAGCACAACTAGTTAATATCCTGAGAAAACCCTTATCAACAGTGTCCTTTCAAGACTTGAGACGCAAGCTTAAAGCGGTAATGTTTCTACCACATCGAACTTATGGGAGACTATTAGTATGATATATTGTTTTACCCTTGTATTAGCAAGTTTGTTTGATAAGTGGTTGTAAATGATATTTGTATAACATGGTTATAAATGCAATTAATTAGTATTAATTAG